GATTGAAAGGGTTCCAGGATCTTCGACTAGAAGGAAACTTCGTATCTGCAACAGAAGATTTTGAATCTGAAGAAAGGAGGAAAAATCAGTTCGCTTGGCAGTTAAAGGGAGCAATGTGGCGTGAACAGAGGGGTCGAAGCACATACATAATACACTTGTCTTCATCCTAGAGCAAGGCAAATCTTCGACGGTTACCTAGTTTTAGTATAAATATAGGAAGTTTATGTAGATTTCCGTGTGCTCAACTGATCGTACAAATTATTCAATACTATTCAAGTGCCCGCTGCGTGAGAAATAATATTGAAAATGTACGTTTGAAACACCACATTTTATAATCAAAGTCTTTTATTTCTCTCTTTACATTTCTTGCCTTTTTATCTTGTTTGCACTTTACCTGCACTTTTACCCAGATTTCTGCACTTAAACTCTTCTCAACCCCTTTTCTATTTACTTTCTGCACTCAAAATCATCCATTTCCCAGTCGAACGCGCGTTCTTCATTTACATTAGCATTTATGTCCAAACAACACCAAAAATTAACATATGTCCTAGGATCAAACTGATCGATCCTGCGAGTAACCAAAAATTTACCCTTTTTGGAAGATCAGCGACTGTTTACCAAAAAACACGGTGAACACCGAGCTAAGCTTTGTCAAGGCTAAATCAAACCTGTTAAAAAATTCAAAGTCTAAGTTTGACTTGTGATCTATTATAGGCTTATTTTCCATCCTGAACTTGACCTTTTCAAAAGTCTGATTAACCTATTAGCCTACTTAAAACGCCTATATCATTTGAACATATATAAATAAGCAATTCCACTAACGTTCAAAAATAGACTTATGTTTGCATTGACTTATATCATTTGAAAATATGTTTGTATTGACTTATTTGAGCTTACATAGTAGCAAAAATTTTGTGAGTTTATTTGTTTGAGAAAACTTATGAAAACAATTTATGACATTATTCATAAGGTTTTTTCAATTTATTTTCACAAGTTCTTCAAGATAATCAAGTTTTAATTTTGTATTTTAATATAAAGTACAAAATACAATATAAAAGTAATACATTTATTCATATTTATTAAAATAGACCGGTCTGATAGGTTTAAAAGATTTTTCTTATGGCCTATGACCTAGTCTGTTTAACTAAATAGGCTAATAAAAAAGCCTAAACCTTTTCTATTTAAAAAAAAAATTTAACCTATATAGCCTAGATCGTAGACCTCTATTAGTTGGTCTGACTTACTCTCACTCTTACTCTTATCTAATAAAATTTTATAAAATTTGTATCAGTGTATCATAGGTGGTCGATCATTCGTAAATCACTTACAACCAAACAATATATCACTACTAAACTATTCATAATTTAATATATCTTAATATTAATTTTGAATAAACTAATAAAATAAATTTTATGCATTAGTTTTAGAGGCCATATCTGGCTCTATAAGATACTTTTGAAAAGGATGGAGAAGTAGTGGACTTAAACAACACCAATTATCAATGCACCATAACATCATAACATCCTAGATCTGTAAAGGTTCTTTAAAAGATTTTGTCAAGGTAGAGAGTGTTGTCAATGGAGAAACTGCCACAACTTTGTCAAGTCAAACAAATGTAAACCAAGTCTTCAGTACATAGCATTTGTTCGAGCCTATAAACTTAGTAGACCCACGTGAACATTGGTGATCACTTCAATACATCGCATCGTTGATAATTTAAAATAGTTAAAGGAAGACTGAGGTGAGAAATATAAAGACACATACCTTGTTTGGAGATGGTGGCATATATGGATGAATACAAATACAAACTTAATGCATTTGAGTTGTAATTTTATTAAAACTTATATTGAGTAATTTTATGCGAGTCATTTGCTTTAGTATGTTGATTTCTTCATGATCCACATCGTTTGTGGTTGTGCGAAAACCCTCCAGACTGAATGGTTAATTGTCCAATATCCATGTTAACTCATGGAATAATTTTCATATTTCTAATGATTTGATGTGGTTTAATTGAGCGGTATTGAAGGTTGAGCATATTTATAGTAATTGATTGAGAAGTCACATCCAACAAAGGATATTGTGTAGGTTATCATCTCTAACCAATCTGATGAGGATAGAAAAAGCCAAAGGATATTGTGTAGGTTGTCATCTCTAACCAATCTGATGAGGATAGAAAAAGCCAAATACACAAATTCATCATGAGAGATTCATGTATATATTTATCATTCAAAACTTAGGTACGTTATTATTTGATTTCGTGTGCACGATAACACACACTACGACACATTTTTTGTCATTAAGCATGTATCATTTTTTTATTATTATTATCACATATATTAACTCAAGACCGAAACACTTTCCTATATTGTTCAGAGTTTGTATTTTAAGTTTGAGATTGTTGTTGCTAAAACAACCTTTAAGTTTTGGGTAGCTGTGCAGAAACTAAGAATAAGAAGAAGAGCATCTAGAAAAAAAGAGAAAAAAGGTTGAAAAAATTAACATATTTGAAAATAAATAGAAAATCATCTGGGGAGAGAATTCTTCTCTAGATACTCTCTCTGACAGTGTTTTAAAAATCGGATTGGATCGGTCGGACTGGTTGAATCAAAAACCGATTAAATAATCAATCTGATTTAATTGTTAAATCGTTTATATGTTATTGAACGGATGTGAACCGGTAAAAATTGGTGTAAATAGAAAAAATCGATGGTTTTTTTAAACCGGTAATTTAATTACATTTTTTATTTTATTTTAAAAAATAAAATAAAATGAGACTGTTTTAATTATTTTAATTTAAAATAAAAAATAAAAAATAATGAAATAAAATTAAAAAAATAATAATAATAAAAAAAATAATGATATCGTTGACGGGAAAGCGGTTGCGAATACAATTCATTTTTCTGCCGATGAAGGAGATTCTAATATTGAAACAATTTTCTCTCTTTTGAACTAAATTTTGTACATATTGAAGTTATTTTGTTAAAGATTATTTAATTACATTTATGTTGCAATTAGACTTTGTTTACAATTAAATTTTTATAATTTTGGACTATTTTTAGAGTTCTCTCGAATTTTTAAAGGTTTCATGTGGATTAGTCATAATTTAGTAAGACAAAAAAAAATAGAGACCCTGTATAATCACAATTTAACAAAAAAAAATATTTTATGAAATCTTATTTAACTATAAATTAACTTTGAAAATTTTGAGGTTATATATCACAGACTGTCTTGCATGCTCTCAAAGACGATCCTGATTATTTTATTATGTGTGAATTTAGATTATAAACTTTTGAATTTATTATATGATATTTTTTAAAAAAATTAACTGTTAGTTATATTTTGTAGAGACTAAATCAACTGATTCAATATCTATATAGTTTTATTATAAAGACGAATTCATTCAGACAAATTATCTGATTTAATCTAATTTAATCATGCGCTGAATCAATGATCTAATTGTTCGATAAAAAAACCATTGTCAACGAGACTTCACGAGTCAATGAAACTTCTAGAATCGCTCTATCACCCACAACCTCTTCGACTTCCAAAACGTCCTTTTTTTTGTTAACCGAAAGTATACTGAAATTGTAGTCATTTTTTTTACCGTATGTTATTTTCTTTAATATTTTATCACATTGGATATCTCTTTTTCTATGCTCTCCAAAAATGGATATTATTATAATTAGTGTATTATAGTTTGCATTCTGCCGCGGCTGCCATGGAAGTATATAGTTCTGAACAAAGTTCCAGCACCAGAAACCAACAGAACTCCAAAGCTGAAAAATATTAAGAGAACAAACGTAAGAAGGGCAGAATCTTCCATTTTGCAGAGAAGTGAGTTTAAAGATGTGTGAGAAGATAGAAAAAAATCCAAGTTGTGAAATGTAAATAAATAGAGAAATGGTGGATTTAAATCAACTGCTGTCAAAAATTAATGTAAAAGATTGATATCTTTACTGTAATGACTGCAGAAATGATGGATGTGATATTATTTAAAAAATAAAAAATTCTTGGAAATAGGTGAGAGAAAAAGGGTTTAAGATATGCTAATTTTACTATTTGAAACATTTGGTTCTAGTATAAATTAGAAGGCAAGTCTATGATTAAAAGAATATTTAATTAAAAGAAAATAAATAGTTAAGTAACATTAGTATTTAAAGTTACAAAGGGATGGAAATTCAAAGTCAGCCAATCGTTCCCCAAGAAAAGGCTGTTTTTCAGAGGTTCAGAGGCTGTCACAGTAGGTTTAACAAGTCAAATTAACAGTTTAGGTTTAAATAAAAAATGTTAAAAGAAAATTTAACTTTTTCCACATTTCCACTCTATTCCTATCCAACTCAATAGCAAAACTGGCGCCACTCTATTCCTGAATGGATTGGATAGATTGAAATTCACTAACATTGAAATCTAATGATATATTTATGAAATATGAATTCTTTCTTGTTTTGTTTGAACAGCCATCTGTCATAATATCCTCATATCCATTAAAGGAATATTTATCCAATCCATTCCAATAATTAATCTATTCAATCCATCCATAAAAGAAAAACAATTTAATGAATTTTGATCCAATTCATCTATCAAATTATATGAAAGGATTAAATCCCTCCCATCTTATTTTATAAATTTATTGGATAATATTTTATTAAATAAAATATTAAATAAATCTATTTATAAAAAAATCATTAAAAATTCTTTTAAACATTTAAATTAAACAAAATTTCTTTTGTTTAAAAACATAGAAGAAAAAAAACATTTGAAAATTATACAAAAAGAACTTCTCTCAAATTTCACTTCTCTCTAAACTTCACGTAACAAGAACCCTAATTTCTTCTTCTTTTGATTTCTTCTTCTCTCAATTTCTTCTACAATATTCTGCGCTATAATCGCAATTCATCTCAATGTATCAGTGCTATCAAATATCAAAAATTAGATTTTCAAAGAACCTTATCCACCACTACTAATGCTTGTCAAAATAAATATAATTTCATGGGAAGAGTATGCAAGTTGTAGACTTGTAAGTAAATTACTAAACTAAGAGTAAGGTGGCATATGTGGATGAATACAAACTTAATGCATTGAAGTAACTAGAGCGGTCAAATGGGTTACTCTGACTAAGTCCGCTTTAGTTTGGTGGGCCAAAATATTTAAATGGATTAGTTCAGCTGAGCTCGATTATTTAATGAACTATATAAAATGAGTTTGATCCGTTTATCAAAGGTCCATACAGATCGATGGACCAACCTGATCCGTATTTTAATATTATAATTTTAATTTTATAAAAAAAGATATACCGGATAAAAACTACATAACATAAGTAAAGAGTCATCATAAATTTAGTTAAGTGATGTTTAAAATATTCATCGAATCAACATTAATATATATATGAATGTCACAAAAACATCCATGTAAAAGTACAAAGTAGTTTAATATTATCACTAATATTTATCAAAAATTTTCTTCATCTCCCAATCATTTCATTGATCACATCATCTTGAAAATATATTTTCATCTTCTTTAACTTTTCTTTATCACTTGAAAACACACTTATGCAATCCTATCTTATTTTAATTTTTTCCCCCAAAATTTACCAAAATCTTTTTTTAATAGGTCAGTCTGAAGCCCGCTTGGTCCGGCCCGATCCGGCCCATAAAAAACATAGACCCGATGCAATGGGCCAAAAAAATATGATCTTATTATTTAAAGGTATTTTATAGCCCAACCCATACTAAATTATTGGACTTATGGATCAACTCGATAGATCGAACCCATTTTAACCACTCTAGAAGTAATCCATTAGAAAATAGAGCAAACAAGATTAAAAATTACACTAAACAAATAAATAGAATATGGTCTAACAATAGTCGCAAATGTGTCTACAACAATAAATAGCGTACCTATCCTTGCTTGCCCCGTGTTTTCGAGTTCTAAAAACTAGAGTCCAACAATCAATTAACCATTTAGGATATTCAGATGATTCATCTATAATCTGTAATTTATCTAGAGGTGTAGAATTGATTCTGAGTGATTTTGATGTATTTGTTTTATCAAAAGTATAATTGATTCTGCCTCCAGAATTAATTATATTTGAAGTTAGAATTTATAGCTTATATCTTCATAATTGATTCTGAATGATTTTTATACTGAAATTATTGTTCAATTCACTTTTACATAAATATATCCAAAGATAAATCAATTATAACAAACTCAATTCTGTTAAAATCAATTATATCAAACTCAATTATATTAGAATCAATTCTGCTCACTGTCAATCCAAACACATCTTAAATATCAATCCATCTGGTATTGCAACTCTGAATAGAAAGAAAAAAAGCACAAAAGTTGCTAAAACAATAAGAGAAAGGGATTTCTGAAATTAACCAACGTACATGTAATTTTTCAGTTCTATTTGGATTGGAATAATTAGGTTAAAGTTGAAGCAGATAACAAAATCTAACACAATGATAAGACATAAGAGATGATCCGTTACCCTAATCCATGTAGTAGAGTGGAGATTGGGAGAATGGATGTTGTAGTGTAGCCATAGTTAATTTCAAAAATATAAATTTTAGAGTAATGGTTTGCAGTTTATTGTAAATTTGAAAATCAATAGTTGTTCACTGCAACCGTTAGTGTGTGAAGCAACGGTAACAAGCAATAAATTAATAATAAAACCAATAATGACATTGCAAACAGCTTTCTTCTTCTTTTCTTTACTTTAACAAATTATTTCTTTATAAATAATTTATTTGTTAATTTTATTTTATATTAACAATTTTATAAATTATTCATTTGCTTATAAATGATAATTCTACTTTGACAATTTTATAGTTTTTTTTTTTTACTTATAAAATTTAATTTAGTTTTATTAAGAAAAAAAAGTATGCATTGACAGTGTAATTTTACACTATCAACCAATCAAGGGTGTGTATTTAGCTGAATCACACTTTTAATTTTTAAATACCGATATGACATGACTGAATGTTATAATTCTATTAGATGATGATGTAAAATTGGTTTACATTGACAGTGCATTATCTTTAATCTCAATTTTATTTGAGTTTGAAAAGATGAAGCGGCGCTACCCTCTCTTGTAGTTTTGACCTAATTTTTTCCATCCCTTCCATGGCCTATTTCATTCCACACGAGTTGTTCCCCGAAAGCTTTTTCTTCGATAATGTAACACCCAAGCCCTCTGTATCCGTTTCCCAACCACAAAACACAACAAGAGCCAAATCATTTGCAGATACCGTCCGAAATGTTTGTGACATTCCTCAAAGCCAGCTCCTAATTCCTTGTATTAATGGGGATTGAATCTCTATTACTATCTCAAAAGATGAATACCAGTTAGGTCTTCAGCGTGCAAAAATAACCTCCATGGTAGAATCCTCTGGCTGAAAGGTTCCACACCTCTTACGGTTGCTGCGGTGCGTGCCAAACTTGAAACTCTCTAGTCTAACATCAACAAATGGGGTATCACATCCATTGGTAAGGGTTTATTTGATTTCACCTTTTCTTGCCTTGAAGATGTGCAAAGAGTCAGATCCATCAGCTCTTGGAACCTTAATCCTGGGATTCTAAAATTGTTCCCCTGGTCAAAGGATTTTGTTCCCTCTAATGTAAACCAAACTACTGCTCAATAATGGGTTAGACTCCATGGTCTCTCCCAAGAATACTGGAGACCTAAGATAACTTTTTCTATTGATAGTAGCCTCATAACTCCCACCAGTATCGATTCAACCTCAAGCAAACTGACTTTTGATCGTACCTTTGGCCATTTTGTTTGGGTTTTGGTAGATATCAAATTGGTCAAGGAACTTACCTACCAAATCCTTATGGAAAGGGCCGGGTTTGGTTTCTTTGCGGAGGTTGAATACGAGAAACTTCCAACTTTCTGTTCTCATTGTAAGGTGATTGGCCACACCTTTGAAACTTGCAGAAGGCGTATTGCCATATATGCGGCCAAGGCTTCAAGTTTGGCTGCTAAATCCCATCAGCAACAAGATATTGATCTGCATAATTATGAAAATCAACAAAATCATGTTGAAATGGATAATGGAGCGAGTATCTCTGATCTTGCCACTCCTGAAAAAACTATTTTTGTTCCCCCTCAGGAAAACATTCAACCTATGATTGGTGCTGTGCCACAGTTTCGAAGTCTTGTTGTTCCTATCGATGCCAATTCTAATTAAGTCCAAGATGAATGTGGTATTAATTCTACAGGCCCCATTTTGGAACTGATTCATCATAACTCAAGGTCTCCTCAGGTCTGCACCAATATTGCTAATTGTGGCTCTCATATACCGATTGAAGCAGATTTTTTGAAGCAATCATGGGCTAATTTATCTGAAATTCATGAAGATGACTTTCTCGGTGAAGCTGAGGAAGATCCCAATTATGAACCTTTTGATTTCCAGCTTGCCATTTCTAAATCTCAGAAAAATAAAGCAAAAACAAAATACAAGGTAAAAAACAAATCCTCAACCTCTAAGAAGGCTGCTTTTGTGCCTTTACAATGAAGTGTATATACTGGAACCTAAGGTGCTTAGCCAATGGCCCTACTAGACTGGCTCTCAAAAACCATATCAAAACCCATAAACCTAACATATGTCTTGTTGTGGAACATTGGATGAACCACTTAGACCTCCCCACAAATTATCTCAAGTCCCTTGTGTAAGAACAAGAAGTGTTTCTACATCTGGCCTTAAGATTTTAATGATAACTTTATATGTTATCTTAATGAACAATTGTATACACTAATGGTTTCGCTCTAGTGTGTAGTCGCTGCTATAATGTTCTGACTCTAATATCAAGATGTATGACGTCATCAGGTTCTGAACATACACTACTTGAAGAAAACATGTGGTTACATGTTACAGCTGAAGTTAAGATTCTGAATTCATCTTCTGCACCGTGTCTAAGGAGCATTAGTACAAAAGGTTCTTATTTTGACTTTGCGGTCAAGCTTTGGAGGCCTTTTAAAGCTTTGCTTCTATGTGTTACAAGTTCTAAAGATTATGAAGACGAGGTTCTGCTGAACAAGTTCTGATGATCTGAAGAAAAGCAAGTTCTTACGACCAAGTGCTGAAGACTCTAAAGACAAGGTTTTGATAGGAGAAGTTCTGAAGACTCCAAGACTTAGGTTCTAAGACTTAAGAGTGATTCTTCTACAACAAGCTTCAACAATCAAATTATTTGAAGCCTCTGAAGATAAGAAGAAAGTTCAAATGGTTAACATGTGATGTTGTACAAAAGGTACATAAAGTGTCTGTGACATCTATCCTCTAGGGTGGCATAAGGACAAACTTTTTATATTGTATTGTCAACCACTCCCATTGAGACCGTTTAGAACAAACGGATGGATTTCTAGATATCTTTCTTTACTTAACATATCTCTGTTTACAAGCTTATTAGAAAAACATTATTCAGAGAAAAGGTGGAAAGTTATCATTGAACTATGATAGGATACAAAAAATATTATTTTATATTGTCTAAACTCTTACACCTTATTCTATCAGTTGGGAACTAACCACTGGTGTAGGAAAATATTTTTCTATCCTCACAACGTCTCTCTCTTTCAAGGCTATAAAAGAAGATTAAAGACTCAAAGAAGAATGTCGTCATTGGCCATCAAGCTAAAATGTTGTCGATGCTGAAGATGTTAAAGTTGCAATGCTACACATTCTGAAGACCACCATATAAGAGAGAAAAGAAAGAAAGAAGAGAAATAATATTTCAATAAGATGTCATTCAACTATTATCATATGCATCTTGGATGAAACAGAAGAAGCAAGGTGTTGTTACTCATAGCTTGCTCAAAGAAGAAGAAGATTCTACAAGATGCTAACCAACTATCATCATATACATCTTGGTAGATCTTAGAAGAAGCACGGAGTTGTTGCTCGTGACTTGCTCAACAAGAAGATGAAGAAGAAGAACACTATAATATGCTACTCAACTTCTGATCATATACATCTTTGTATAACATTGTAATGAACACACGATTTGTTGCTCGTATTGTGTTTTAGTTCGTGTTGTACCCCAAAATTTGCCCTCCCATATTCTCCAATAAACTGCCAAGCCAAGCTACAAAATTCCCCAAGAGTTGCACAATGCAAAGGCCTCCATACAGTCAAAACTAGGGTTTGTGTGTTGATCAAGAAAAGAAGTGTTCAAAGGTCCAATCAAGTCTCATATGCTTACAAAGAGGGTCAAGCATCCTCATATCAAGTTTCAAGGCATTCAGCTCAAGATTGCACAGTCAAAACCCTAAATTGCACTACAGTCAACTGTAGGGGCAAAATGGTCATTTGACAGTCAAAAGTTCAAATTTTTGGTCAACATATCATTTTGAAGCCACAAACATCATTTGATCAATGCTTGATCATGATTCTCAAAATTTGGCTCAGAAATCATCAAAGATGCAAAAGTTGCTATATTTGGACAGTTGAAAAAGTCAACTGAAATTGACCAGGGCATAACTTTCACATGGATTATCAGAAAAATTCCATCCAAAGCTCATTTTGAAGAGAAAGACATTTCCTACAACTCATCTTCATACTTCAAGTCCAAGAAATGCTCTCACAAAAAGTTATCAATTTCAACATTATAGGTCATTTTCAAAAGTCAACAAAAAGGGACTTTAAGTCAAAGGCCATAACTTGAGATTGGTAAATCAAAATGACATGGGACCAAAGGCATTGGTTAAAGGACTCAAAGACCTTTCCAAAATGTCCAAGAACATGTGAAAAGATTAAAAATTGAGCAAGTTGTGCCTTGTAGAAGTTGGGAAATTTTTGTGAAATGGCAAAAGTCAACTATCATTGAAAATCCAATTTTTGACAAAAGGGCCCCATTTTTTCCACTTGGTTCATCCTTGTTATACCACACACGTGTCCCATGGTTAATTACAAGACCAAATATTGATTTTTTTATTTTATTTAATTTTTGATGATTTAATTCATTTTAATTCTTTGAAAATTCAAATAAAATTTAAAAACCAATGGAATAGTGTCATATGAACTTGGACAATTTCTATGAATCATGAACCAACTCAAGAAATCAGGCTAAGGTTCATTTGCACACTAGGTCTAGGTTTTGGCTAAAAAGGAGGAAAAATGGTTAAGAGTGAAAACCCTAAGACTAATTCCTTCACAAGCATGAATTAAGGCAAAAGAGCAAGCCAATTCCATTCCATGATGATCATTGAGTCAAACCCTAACCAGAATGCAGCAAAAGTCTCGCTCAAAAGTGGATTGGCAATTTGAAAAATGAGCCATATAATGCAAATCTGAATTCAAAGTTAGAGGATCTTTCAAGCCTTAATTTTTGTACCATTAGCATCCTGAGGCAATTCTGAACACATCCCAACCCCTAACTTCAATCAAAACGCGAAGAAGCAGTCACGACAACTCAAACTGTACAGAACATTTTTTGAAATCGTGTTTGCAATTCTAAGCATGATTGTTGCATTTTAATTACATATTTGTGTTCCTTACAAAGTTTCCAAGCTAACCTTTACATTTAATTTGATTTTTGCATCACGTATGGGATTTCACCATGACCAAAAGCTAGGGTTACAGTTTTCTTGAATTGGGGCTTTGGCACAAAGGAAAAATTAGGACTTAGGAATACCATGGTTGGACTCAGTACACCAGGACGAAGAAGAAGCATACCTCGCGCCTAATTTCTGATCACCATAGCCCTATTCGTTATTTTTCCATAGCCACCCTAACACCACGGTTGCAAAACCGTTGCTCATTTGTTTTGTTTTACAGGGGATGTGAAGAAGAAGGTATCGTGGCAAGGCGTGGTTCGTCCATTTAAATTTATGCGCGTTTTGATGACTATGCATTGGTTTTGTTTCTTATTATTTATTAACTATATTATGTTAATTGAAATCAAGTAGCTCAGCTGGCAAGCTATCCATGCGTTCACCTCAATGACCTGGGTTCAAGTCCCAGGTCTGGCCAATTTCTCATATTATTTTTCACTTCAAGGTTCCATGCAGCGCTGACGTTAGTACATACCATACGTCCTCCTCATCTACTGCACACGTGTCCTAGGAGACTTATCAAAGGGTTCAGGACAAAGGGCATATGGTGGACGCCAGTCAACATGCCACACCTGATTGGAAAAGTCAACAAATTGCCAGCAAATGGGCCAGGCTTTTCAGGCCTGCACCTCACAATTTTGGGGTCTACCACCCCCTGGTTTGCCCATTTAATTTATTTTTTTATATCTTTTAATTTACTATTTTTTTCTGATGATCAACGTTCGACTAATAATTCTAAGCCTCTTGAGGGAGGATGACGAAAACGATACCACGATTTACAGTATGCTTTTGAACAGACCCCGCTGATGAGGTACAGGCATTGTTTCAACCCCTAAACACTGGAGTTATAAGGATGATAATCCCTCGCCAACCCATCAGAGCCAAAGGAGTAGGAGTTTTATTTTCGAAAATCAAAACCCTTAATCATAACCTGGGGCAGGGTAGTTCTCTCAGTTGATCCAAGTGCACAATGAATGGCACCAAATGAGTTTTTTCAAAAAACAAAAGACAGTGATGGTTCCGAACGATCATAAGGACAGGCAGTCATTATCAAAAAAAAATCATAAACGAAAAGCCCAAGAAGTCAAAACCTATGAAAAGAGACTTACGAAATTGGGGCATCCCGCTGACTGTAATTCCAAAAAGGAAACAGTTCAGGCAAAAAAAGAAAGGGATAACAAAAATCAAGAAAGAGGTCTCACAAACCCTCAACAAAAAGTGACTGCCTAGTCAGAATAAATCATCAATGTTTGGACCATCACCGGAAAATCAGAGCAAAGACTCAAACAAGGTCTAACGTATGATCAACTGAGTTTAGGGTTGGAGAACATCACGAAAGAGCGGGTGGGTACAAATAGTTTGGGCCTTTATCCTTTGTTTCTTAAACCGTGAACCAGGCCACGATATAACCCTTAAAAGTCCTAGCTGAAGCATGGGTTAGTTCGAAAGCATACTGTTACGAAGGTATCCTGACTCCTGAAGGTTTGCTGTAAAATCTTGAGTTGACACCGTATTGTATTACAACAAAATGCATTTTTAAAATATTCAAGACAGACATAGACTTTTGCATTCTTAAAATAACTTTGTTTGCATATGAATTTTTGTCTGAACAGCAGGGAAATTCGCACGATGAATATCTTGTGAACAGAAGTACCTCCAATCAAGAGGCACAGTAGGAGCATTGCCCATTATCTGGGGCATGACAAAGTATTTCCAACAGGGGCAACTCCCCACATTCTGAGAAATATGGACATAGTCGAAAGAATACTACGCAAAATCAAAGACCCGCTAGGTTGACACACCTAGGCAAAAATAAGGGATTCCCGGCGAACCAAAAGGGTTCGGGCAAAAATAAGGGATGAAATGAAAAAATCTGTACACCCGGCAAGTCGAAAACCTGAAAAGGCGGCTTGGGCAAAAATGGGTATCCCGGTGGACTGAAAACCCGAAAAGGCGGTCCAGGCA